AGAGCGAGGGGGAAGAAAAGGAAGATAGAAATAAAAAAGACGACATAGAAAGGACAGTTGGAGAAGGGGCCCTGCAGGAAGGCGGCGAGGCGGTGGGGCCCAGAGGCTGTGCGGGGCGGGCGGACGGACGGGAAGGCCCGGAGTCCAGGGGCGCGGGCGCGGGTCCGGGAGGGGAGGAGAGGGGCCCTCGCGTTGGGCAGGTGCAGAGCTTTGTCCCCACGTCCACTTCCTGGCCCCACCGCCAGGCCCAGGGCCCGCCCTCCGCGTCGCTCTGTGCAGAAAGCGCCCCTTGCGAGGAGTGTGGCTTGGCGGCGTCCCGTCGCGTCCCCAGAGGAGCCCCGGTGGCCCCGCGTCAAAGGCGGCTTTGTGCGCAGCGCGCGACGCCCCGGGCTCCAGCTCCTCTCCTCTCCCTCCCGCCTCTCCTTCGCCTCCCCTCCGCCTCCATTCTTGCCTCCCCCTCGGTTTCCTCCTCTTTTTCCCCTTCCCTTCTTTCTCCGCCCACCTATCCAAGAATCTCTCCTCCTCTCCTCCTCTCCCTCCTCCCCCTCTCCTCCTCTCTCTCCCCCCTCCTTCCTTCTTTCCTTCTCTCCCTCTCTCTCCATCTCTCTTTATTCTCTCCCCTCCTTCCTGCACCTCTCACCTCCTACCTGTGGCTCCTCCTCTGGGGTCGCCCCCTCCATCAGGTGGCGGAGGAGCGCCGCTGACAGCGGACGCGCGCCCGCAGCCAATCAGCGCCCGGAGGCGCCGCGCCTGAATGAATCATTAAGCCCGACACGCGCTCCGGCCGCGCCCGCCGCAACGCGCTCCCTGCCATTAACCTACACACCCTCTTTTGTAACAACCTAATCTTGCATACAAAGGAAGAAGGCACATAACTTCGCCCTGACCTGCGCTCCAGCCGAGCTGTCGCTTCGCAGCTGGGAAAGAACGTGAGGTGTCAAGGAATTCTTTTCCCTCCCTACCTTGGGCTCCGGGTAACCTGGAGTTTCTGGGGAGATCCCCAGGCAACCGTTTCTTTCTCCGATCGGGATGGAGAGAAGTTAGAGACTCCCTCACTAGGAAATGGAAGGGAAATGGGGTTGCTAATGTTTGGTGCATCGGAGAAGCAACCATAGTGTTTAAAAAAAAAAGTTGCAATAAAACCTGCTTCTTGGAGAGCGCTCTGTGGAAGGCACACATTAGGACAGTTAAGTCCCGGAAGTGTTGACTGCGCTTACTGTGGAGTCCATCCCTCTTCCAGTGAGCGCGTAAGTGGCCCAGTGAAGGAATGGGTGAGTGGGGCGCCGTGGCAGCCTACAAGCCGCAGATCTTTGTTTATTCCAGCACCGAAGCTCAGCAGAAGCGCTGATATACAGTACACTCAGCGACGGTCCTGAAGCCCTTTTATTTCCTATTCAAGAGGTGATCTATGCAGAAGAGCTTCTTACTAGCCTTATTTTCCAGAAGATAAAACCGACAGCCACTTCTTTCGCAAACTTGCTCTCTAGAGTTAGATGTCCCAGTGTTAGGTTCACCCCTACCCTAGGGAGGTGGTACCTCGGGCTCAGGAGGCTCTAGAAATCTGACACAGGACCAGAGCATCCATGAGGTTCTGTGGCCTGGTGGCCTGAAGACCAGCCAGGGTCAGCAGGAGCCGAGGACAGAGATGGGGGTGGCGCTGAGGCAACTAGCATGAGGCAGCATCCGGAGCTTAAGCTGCGGACTCTTAGCACCTCCGGGCTGGAAGGGCCAGGGAAGGAAGCTGTCCCTGGATCTCATCAACAACTGTTTGTATGGAACAGAAGTGTCTTCAGGAGCTGCGAGCTGCAGACCTAGAGGAAGCCACTGCCAAAGCAACTGAGTCAAGAGGGAATAGAGATTTTCCAGCCTAGCCCCCTCTTCCTTGCCAGCTCTGGAGGGTACCCTCCACTGGCAGAACCCATCAGGAAGCCAGAGAGCCAGGAGCCCTCCAAGTGGAAGCCAAGAAGATCTGCCTCCTGAGATGTGGGGAAGAGCTGGAAGGGTAGAGAGCAGACCTGGAGAGGAAAGGATCAGTAACACAGCTAGCCATGGCCCAGAGCAGGGGTCTAGATCAACTCCTCCAATCACTGTCTTCCCAGCAATGGGGATGGAGCAGTGAGCAGGACAGGAAAGGCCCCTGTCCTCATGGAGTTTGCCATCTGGTAGGGGACAACTGTCAACAAACATGTATATAGCAAAGACACAGCATGTTTCAGTAAGTGATAGAAAAGACAGTCAGGATATGGGCAGGAAGGGTTTGAACTGGTGGAGAGTGGCTTCAGGTAGGGCAGGGTGGTTAGGGTTAGGGAAAGCTGGCCTGGAGGTAGCACTTGAGGGAGGCAATCTAGACGTTCTCAGAAAGTCCTCCTTGATTCTACCTCTACTGTGGGACTTTATCTTCTCTGCCTGATGGGTTAGAATCAAGTGTGGGCTGCCATTTGGCTATATCAAGCAGTCCTCAGAGAAAACAGGAGAGACAGGACTGGAAGAATGAACCACAACACACACCAACGTTTGCACACGTCTGGTAATTTCCTCCACAAGAGCATCTGTAAACTCTTTATCTTTTTCATCTCACTGCCTAGAGGACCCCTGAGCTAGGTGCTCGGTTTGTGTTTTAACACTCCTGCAAGCTCAGCAAGGTGAACATGGAGGTTCTAGCCCTTCTCACTACATCTCAGCTTTACTTCTGCTGTCTGCCTAAGACTCTAGGCAAAGAGCAGAATGGTTTCTTTGCTCTTCCTTGGTGGAGCTGTCTGCTATGAACTTGAGACAGATTTTCTCCATCCATCCCCTCTTACACTCGGTTTCAAAAGTAAAAAACAAAGCAAAACAACAACAGCAAAAAGAAAAACCCAATCTGTGTGGGAGGGGAGTGTGAAACGTGTGCCCCAGTAGTTCTAGCCCAGCCTCTTATAATACATGCATTCAGTGGCCTGCAACTAGGCTGTTTTCTTTTGGCACCGAGCTCTCCCTGCTCCTTCTCGTCAATTTCAGGCGCGTCTGCAGTCTACATTTGGTGGTCTCCGGGCCATTTTTGAATAGGCAAGATATCTCAGTCAGTAAAGTCAACTGCAGGAGTTTTCTTCCCCTGCCCGAAGCGAAAGCGGCTGGGGTTGAGGAGAGGCTGCGATTGCTGGCCACTGGGGCGGACCCTTCGCATTGCGCTGACAGCCCAGGGCCCAAGCCCGCCACACAGCCAATGGGCAGCAGTGATTTATGGCGCTGGCTACCGCCAGCTGAATGCGGCTTGTCAACCTCACAGTGAAGGGCTTCCCTTCCCGCACAAGCCCTGGCTTTGTGTTGCTTAGCGATTAGAGCAGATGTAATGAGATTTTGCCCAATCCTGGCATTGTCCTTTCGAAGCTTGGGCAAAATTGTGTGTGTGTGTGTGTGTGTGTGTGTGTGTGTTTCTGTGAATTTTTTCGAGTTTCCCTTTGCACTGTGGCAAACAACTGCTAACTTTGCCTCGAGTTTAAGGAGGCTGGATATTTTCCATTGACAAGTATGTGAAAGAACACCTGTCCTGACCCACAGTAATGGAGAAAATCCCCTTTTCGGGAATGAAACATTACCCTAGCGTCAGATTCATAGTTATAAGTGACTCGCTACACTTTCTTTGCACATCTTATCTGGAAACTTGCAAAGGGAGTTAAATTAAATGAAGGGGAAAAGCGGGGAGGGGGCCAGCTTCGCTCCTGCAAATAAGATAGAATAAAAAAACATGCATCGCAAAAGCATTACTTCCCCCGAGTAAGCTCTAAATTGGCCCACTGCTGGCAGAAAGTCCGATTATTTATGGCGATGAGGAATTTACTGATTTTTTTTCTCCCCTTAATTACGCTCATCTCTTTGAAAGGGACTAAAGCCACGACGTGCATTCTATAGAGGGTCATTTAGCAAAATGACATCAGGCGCTGCGTTGCGCTCAGAGCATCGGGGCTTTAAAAAATGATTATTCGGTGCCACTAAACGGTATGGATGTACCAACACAGACTAGATTTTTAACTCTGGAAGACGTGCTGGCTCCTCGCTCTTTGTTGGGTTTTGTAAGATGCGTTTTTGCGCTCGGCTTTCCGCTTGGCTGGAGACACGCACGCTGAATCGCCAAGTGATGCCGGGCGGCCAGCGAGGAGCCGGCAGAGACCCAGTAGGATTCTAATCACGTCCTTGCTAACTGACAAGAAGCAAGCCAGCCAAAAACCCACCAATTTCTTTTTGAATCTTGGTAATTGGGTACTTTTACACGCAGCTCACGCTATTCGGATAGAGGCACAGGCTCACATAGGCCAGCGTCTCAAAGCGACCACACATTTCTAAGGCATATATTTATTTAAATCTAACTCCTTCTGCGAGGAGGAATCCGTGCCTTTTACTTAAAAGCAATATGGAAAGTGTGTGCTTTGGGGAAAAGGGATGGAAGATGTGTGCCTGACGGTGGAAGAAAAAAGCACTCCCCTCAAGCCTGAGCCTGGAAGGGGACCTGCCCGGTCCCCAACTTGCAGCCTCTGCCCTTGCTTGCCTCTTCTCCAGCATGTCTTCTGCTCTCCCTCAGTTTCACACTGAGGGACTCAGGATGGGGGTGAGGGTCAGAAGGTGGGGTACAGGATCTTCTCTTCCCAGTTCACATTGGGGGATTTTCAAATGTAATTTATTAGAGGAGGATGCAGCCCTTATCCACCACTTATTCTCCTGGGGGGGGGGTGTGCGTGTGCAGAAAAAAAAAGAGAAGAAAATAAACTATCAATACTGTTTTCCTCTAGCTCCATCATAGTGGCCGCTGGGGTAGGATCAGGGGAGCATCTGTTGTGTCCCCCACTCTGTGTGTTTTGAACCAACTCTTCTCTCCCACCCAGCCCTTCCCCTCAACATTTTGATGATAACTTGGCGGGGGGTATCCTTGGCTGTCAAAGAAAGCTTAGAAGCAGCTGATTATTTTCACTTTTTAAAAAAGGAAAAAAGTTTTATTATGAAACTAGTTTGTATAAAACAGGGTTATACACATTTTTGTAAGTTTGTAATAAAACAGTAAGAAAAAAAAAAAAGGCAGTGGTAGAAATTTCCAAAAGGCAACCTATCAAAACCATCTGGCTGCCACTCTTCGTTTGGACAGTAGCTGAATAAACTTTGTTCTTCATGAACGGGATTTAATAACATCATTAATACATTAACAACGTTTCTATAAAGTAAGACACATTGGTGCTGAAGTACATCTGGCGGCATTTAGATCTCACCTATGAGGAGAATTCTTTACAAAAACCACATAGGGGAAATGGCAATTGTAAGGTGAACTACACAGCTAAAGTCTGCAGAGGTAATAGCATTACATGTTAAAGTATCAAGATATACACATTTTAAACCATTTGTACAAAACTTCTATAAATTTTTTCTCTCTCTTTCTCTCTTATGTACAAAAATAGCTTAATATATCCCCAAACTGGTTAGGATAGATACAAATAGATTTTTCTTATAATAAAAAAAATTCACAAAAGATTGGAAGCATTCTATGATGAAAACCGTAGAAAAGACGGCCGGAGAGGCAAGGTGGGGGTCAGGGAGGGGTTTTCAGGGCAGTGAGTCGAGCATAGCTTCACTGCAGACCAATGTCCACAGCTTGACTGGGCCGGGTTACTGAGATCAAAAGACAACCCGTTTGTAGAGGGCTGCGCCCTCCGCTCGCTTTGAGAGAGGGCGCGAGGTGAAGGCACGGAGCTGGGGGGCCCAGCCCTGCCTAGTGGCGGTAGAGGGGAGTTCTGAGGAGCGCGGACAGCTCCTGTCGCGGAGACCACCGCCTGGGCCGGCGAGCCGCCTCTTGCGCACACCCGGGTACCAGTCGCTGCTTCTTATCCCGGTGGATACTTGCACTGCAAGACACTATTCTGAGCGCATCCTTATTCTGTGAAAGCCTGGCCTCTTGGGCATGTGTGGACGAGTGGGCGTTGGGGTTGGCTGCCTGTTTTTGTTTTTGTGTATGTGTGTTTTCTTCCTTTATTTATTGTTTTCTCCCCTCCCAATGTCGCCGACAGGAAAAGCACTAAAGATGCAGCTTGTGCGGTTCACCCTGTAAGATAAACAGAACGGAGAAGTCAGTACGAATGTGAACTTGGAAGGTCGCCGTAGGGCGCGGGGAGGTCCGGGGGAGCGTGACGGACGGAACCTCCTCCATGACAAGTGCTCGCATTCGGCAGCCAGCACCTCCGCGGCTCGTCCCTACCCTGCCCTCCTTGGAGACCTGGGCTAAGCCCCTTTTAGATGCCAGCGCCGGACTGCACACAGGCTCTGGAAATGGCAAATCTCAACAAATTCTTTAAATTAAAAGAAGAATCCTCCATCTCCGTGGAGACAGCTCCTCTCCCAGCCAGAGATGCTCAAAGGGAGGAGAAAGCAGCGGGACAAGAAGACCTTCCCTCCCCCAGGCACCCGCGAGGGCCACCTACCTGCTTCCAAAGTCTGCTCGCCCCAGGCCCTGAGCAGGCCGAGCCCCTCAGAACCAGTTGGTGAAATCCAGCAGCTCTTGCTCCTCGGGGCTGAGCGGATCGTAAGAGCCCTCGTCGGACGAGTAGGACGAGACCGGGGAGCCGGCCATGGAGTTCATGTCGTTGGAGTAGTTGGGGGAGATGGTGGGCGACAGGACGCCCGCCTGGAAGGCGGCGCTTACCGCGTCGTGCTCGTCCAGCAGCTGCTGCAGCGCGCGGATGTACTCGACCGCGGAGCGCAGCGTCTCCACCTTGCTCATCTTCTTGTTGGCCGCGCCGTTGGGGACGTGCTCCCGCAGCGTGGCGAAGCCCAGGTTCACCAGCTTGACGCGGTTGCGCTCGCGCTCGTTGCGGCGCGCCACGGCGGCCGGCTGCTGCTGCGGCAGGCTGTAGCCGAAGCCGCTGAAGTTGAGCCGGCGTTTGCAGCGCATCAGCTCGGGCGAGGACGAGCGCTGCCGCTTGACTTGCTTGGGCGCCGACTTGTGACCGCCCCCTGAGGGCTGGCCGTCGGCCGCCGGGCTCAGCGGCGGGGGCTGCGCGCTCTGCGCGGCGGCCGAGGCGAAGAAGCAGGCTGCGGGCGGCAGGAAGGGCTGCGGCTGGGGCTGCGCGCCGGCGCCGCCGCTCTCCATCTGGGCCGAGCTCTCCATGCGCGCACAGCAGCGGGGCGCGCGCGGGGCACGCGGGCCGGACTCGGGGGCGCGGCTGCGGAGGGAAGGACGGGGAGAGGTGGAGAGGGCGCCTCGGGAGAAGTTTTCAGAAAATGCCAAGCCCCCGGGAGACTCCTCGGAGCGCGAGCGGAGCAGGTGCCAGTGCGCGTCCGCCTCCCTCTGCGCCTCCTCCTCCCGCCCTCCGCCCTCCGCGGTTGGCTTCGGAGCCTCGCGTGGCGCTCGCGTGTGAGGCTGCCGCTCGCGCCTTCTTGGAATAAAAAAGAGAGAGAGAGAGAGAGAGAGAGAGAGAGAGAGGCGGAAGAAGCTGCAAAAGTCAGCGGCGAGCGCGCTCCGCGGCCCCGGCCCTCGCTGCGCCGCGCCCTGGTCTCTCCGGCCGCGGCCCGGGCTGTGTTTATTATTGTGTGAACCCCCTTTCTTTCCCAGGCCCTGCTTTCGCTCGCCCTCCCCGACCGGCTCCCTGTCGGGGCGCCGTCCACGTTCCCTGGCCAGAAGTGAGAGTGTGGGGCGCCGGAGCGCGGCCGCCTTTTCAATGGGAC